AGGTGCATTTCTACATCAAATGTAATTGGCAGCAGGTTTTTCAGGATAAATAGATTTAAGATTAGAACCGAATGGGATGTTCTGGATAGACTTTTCAGTGTTACATATCTTATGAAACATGTTTGGATAGACGTTTTGAACATAGTAGATCAATTATTCATGAATTCATGAATTTATCTGTTGTTAATGGTGCTTTTAGCATTGGGATAAAAAGTATATAAAGGATAATTGTTTATCCATCTGAAATGAAATAAGTATGGTGTTGATCGCATGCTTTCCTTCACAGGTTTTTCTAGCTCAGCATTGTCCAAACTTGATTATTTATAGCACAACATCATTTAACCGCAGTATTGTTGTTGTGGTGTACTGGATCGAGCATCGGCCTGAAGATTGGTAGGTTCGATCCTCAGGCCATGTCATTACAAGAAATTACAAGACGGCACTTGCTACCCAACATTGGTGGGATAAAACAAGGACTGGATTCAGTTTGGAATCAGTGATCATGATAATGTGGCAAGTGGGGTATCCATGTGAAACTGAGGCATGGTATCTCAGCTGGCTTATTGAACACTGTTAATCTGGCATTAGCCCAGACCAGTACAAGCAGGCAACACACATTTTATCATGCCCATTGAAAGTGAAAAAATTGTTTGTTTGTTTGTTGTTTAACGCCGCACTCAGCAATATTCCAGCTACATGACGGTGATCTGTATATAATAAAATATGGACCAGACAATCCAGTGATTGACACCCCGAGTATTAATCCACACAACTGGGACTTGATGACATGCATGAACCAAGTCCGGGAACCTGACCACCAAATCCTGTTAGTTGACCCTTTTAACACAAGCATGGGTTGCTAAGACTGATTCTAACCTGAACCTGAAAGCAATGTTAAACCCATTTCATCTCACTGCCTTTTCCGAGTAAGCTGATTCTTATTTATTTCCACAAACATTTTGTCATTTTGAACTTTGACTCAAACCATGCTCTCATGAAATTGTGAAATTACTTTCTGAACATTACTCCCTCCTGTAAGTCACATTTACATCTCTTTTCTCATACCACCAGTCTGTCATGGACACTTCTGTTGAGATGACCATCAACAATATGTTAGAATATTTATATAAGCTATAAAAATTCCAATCAAGCATTCATCTTACCATGAACATACTGATCATTCCATCATTATGAGGTTGCTATGCTAACTGACATGATTTCATGCTTGTGTAGGTGGATGGTTTAGAAATACTTGAGTTAATAGCCTGAAGTGTGCATCATTTATCTTGAATTATGGCAAAGTTTCAACGATAGAATAGATGCCATGAGGCAGTGCCTGACCTATTGTCCTCACCTTTTTGCTCAGCTCAGATGGTAGAGATAGTCAGCCTTGGGTTCCTCTGACCCTACTACTTTGTAGCTAGTCTGTCACATAGACCCTTACATTAAAAAAGGAGACCAAGTCCAGTCCAGTATGATTTGGCAAGTCAAGATTGCCTCAGCTCTGAAATTAAGGATTGTTCTGGGGTTCATTTGGCTATTTGGCAATTTTTTAATTTTGTCGATATATATCTTAAATAAGATAAAACATTGTAGGGGCTGAATGTCAGTCTACTTTGTAGCATGCACTGGGGCTAACATTCTCATGATTTCTTACTGGCTGTTAGTGCTGCCTGAGAAACTTAAGTAAACATTATTAGAACTAATTTTTCATGAAAATGTTACTCAGATTATATTCAAGAAAACAAGAATTCTTACATCACAGTGAAGTTGTTTTGATTGGTTTGGTTTGTTTGTTGTTTGATGCCACTCTTGGCAATATTCCAGCTTTATGACGGTGGTCTGTAAATAATCGTGTCTGGACCAGACAATCCAGTGGTTGACATCATGAGCATCAATCCACGCAATTGGGATTGATGACATGCATCAACCAAGTCAGCGAGACTGACCACCCGATCCCGTTAGTCGACTCTTACGACAAGCTGTTTTGAGGTGTTACGGTAATGTGAATGTAGTAGAGAGCCATGTTACATATAACAGGAACAGTGTAAATTGTACTGATACAAAATTTATGTAGTTAGTTAATTAGTATGTTTTGATACTGTGAGGTGAATTTGAATTTGTTTAGACTTGCCTTTGCATGTATTTGTGATGGTGGGGCAGGATATGCTCACCTTTTTCGCGAAAACACCTGATATCATCACTATTTGAAAGTGATGTGGTCGGAATCGTACAATGGACTCAATTTCTAGTTGAGGTTTCTTTTGTTTATGAAAAAGTTTTTTCTCTCTTATTTAACTTCCGAACATAAACAGGTTCAAGATACAAGTTCACTTCTAACTATCAAATGCCAAATAATACAACTGAGGTTAACATTTTTTCATAACAATTAACATACCATTAAGGATATTAATAGGCTTATTGTCACGACCCCACAGGATGTTATTAAGTTATTCCCCCAGTCAGTAACACCATATATTACAGCTGACAGGCAGTAAATGTACAACAGTGCATATTTCAACAGCTGATGTATATAACCAGAGACACACATTCTCTTGGCAAGTTCCCATTTGTTTTCCTACCTGCTTTCCATTTATAATTCATTACATAATGGTCTAAGTAGGGAGGGACACACGGTCTTGGTACTTGCCAACATAACCAACATTCCAGTGTAACATATACCCAATAATTTCTCTCGAAAGTTATCAGTTTAGACATTCGTTTCTTTGTCTTGATACTTTGTTCTTAGCCTTTGTGATGAGATGGCCAAATGCCTCATAAAAACTTCAGTACTGTCTTATGTTGGGTGCATCGGCATGCTCAGGTAGATTCTTTTAGCATAGGCAACAAGCAGGGGTTGAGGTAAAAGATCTCTGTGAGATGGTTAATGTCATCATCTATATCCATTATAGCCAAATGAAAATAATCTGTCAGGAAGCAGCTGTGTGGATGCCAATAAATTACATCACAGTGATAATTGACTGTAGTGCTGACAAGGGATAGATGTTTAGTGTCATGGAAGAGCTGTTGATTTACTTTCCTGTTCACATCGCTTGTGAATTGTTCGACCTTCATATCAAAGAACAATAGATCCAGTCACGTCTGACTAGTGGTAAGGGACATAGTTTTGGAGTAGCTTATGTTGTGAATTGTGTTCTACTTTTAAGTTTTGAACAAAACATGATGACTGAGATAGTGAAGATAGATCTAGGTAGTTAGGTGATGAGGTCATTCTTCAACAAAGAGTGACTTTCTTCCGGAGCAATCACTGGAAGGATCCACATAATCAGGAGACTATCCAATTACCTCAGCTTACTAACATTGATTTTAGTTTTGTCTACAAGAATCAAGAATTTGTTATTGTACAGAACTCCCTCGTAGGGCAGGGTACAGACTATCTACATATGGGAATAAATATAATTATAGACATGAGAGGTATATATACATAATGTACATTACATATTTTTTTTTATTCACTGTATATAAACATTTATATATATCATGAGGTGGCTGACAGCGTACACTTAGTGTAGATACTCTAACATCATATCTTGACATTGTCTATGAGATAATTTGTGTAACATATTTTGCTTTTTGCTTTTTGGGGGGTTGAAGATATTAGCAAATATTTTGTTATCATTTCGGCAGTTTAACAAATCCAGTGTTTGAAGAAGTAACTGTCTTTTGTAACTATAATTCGGACTGTACAAAAGGAAGTGTTTTTCATCTTCTATCTTGTTTAACTTACATTATTTCCAACACATGTTATTGTTGCTAAGGTAGAATAGCTCTGAACAGAGTGCTACACATGCTTCAGTGAAACGTAAACCATAATTTATTGATTCTGTATATGTTTGCAAACTTTAAAAAATGGTCTCTCCACATTTCCACTCAAAACCTAAAGTAGGAAAAGGCAGACCTCCTTATTTGTGAATAATGAGTCTCATCATCATTGCAGGCCGTTCTGATTAAGTTTGGAATACGCCATGCATGTTATGGAGATACCCTGTCATCAATTATATGTGTTATCACACTTTTACAAGACCATCACAGCTGCTATCAGCAGTAGATAAACTTTCCATTTCTTCTAGTGATAACAGTGTAGGAGCCTGTGAAGGCTTACATCATCTGTACATGGAGTCCCTGTCTGTCAGTGTAACGTGCTGCTGATGATAACCCCCTTGGTCCGGAGTGACATGGGAGATTAAGCCCTACATAGTGCATTAGGAGAAATCTTGGTCATGGTTTTGACAGGTTCCTCGGAAGTGGGCATCACTTTGCATTAAGATAAATGCCAGCTGGGCAAGCTTAGCCCTCATATGGACATGCTCTTATTCAAAGTTAGTGCTTATTGAAAAACCGGAAACATCTTTGTTTAGATTAAATTAAACAAAAACATCTGGCTGGGCTAATGGTGGAATGTTTATAATGTCAATACTTTGAAATAAGCTCAGATTAGGGAAATTGATGGATTTGTGGGATTGATCGATAATTGCTTCAGTTCGGCACCAATAAACAGGTATGCACAGGGCTATTAAATAAAGATGGATGCTCTTGCTTTATAGACAAGCCACATGAGAAAGTGGGCAAGAGGGATGACATTCTCTAAATTATTGTTTTGCCACTTACTCTTGGGCTATCGCTCCGTCTCCTTCTGAACCAAAATAAATTGTAACAAGCCTAAACTTATTTTAGTTTTAGCCTGCAGGATCAGCTTTGAAATGCCAATGAAAGATTTGGTCTTTTCGTAATTGCTTTAGATAGTTTGAATTTAGAGGTGTAAAATGTCCCATGACTGAGTGAATTTGATGCCACTCTTGAACCAATGTAGCCAAGCAGTCCTGTATCAGTGTGTGTGCCAATTTTGCATGTGACAAAGACACTGCTAACCTGAGTTAGTTAATTCAACGATTGTAAGGCCATGACTTTGTTGTCATGTGTGCAGAAAATGTGTACAGTTTTGCAAACATTCAATTTTTCCCCTTTTCCATCTTTTCTAGAGATGGCAGCGGCGGTTCTTTGTTTTGTACGATGATGCCGAGCTCACATGGTCTGTGGATGATAATGTAAGTAGAATTGCCAACTCTTCTTATTTTTCTACACTAGGAATGTTAATTTTCATGTTTTATTCAATATCTCTCTTTATGAAAGTCTTTTTAGACATTTAGAAGTTAGATTAAGCATGGCCAGGAACATTATTATGGATAGCTTCTTGGTTACACGTGCACATCAGGCACACCTGGTGAAAGGGCAAGAAGTAGCCCTTGGCCCGTTCCACATAGCGATCCTAGCGCTACGATTGTCGTAAGTCAGTGTTAAAGAATGGGAGTTACGATCGACTTAGCGCTAAGATCACTTTGTGGAACGGGGCCCTGAAACATTGTGTATGCATAATATAGAAGTTGTCATCCATAAGACCCCTTGTCATCCTGATGAAAGTCCTGAATTTATGTGCATCTGGATTCTTTAACTTTATTACTGTGTCTTAATTTGGATAATCAGTCAAGCAAATTGCAATGGCAATAATATGAACTTAAGGTGAAGTTGCCAAATTTGGATATGCACTACTCGAACTATATACAGTAAACTACACTTATAATGAACAGGCTTATAACGAACTGACGGATATAACAAACTTATTTTTTGGTCCCGGCCATTGCTGTATATATGTGGTATTTATGTTTATGATGAACTACGGTTATTTTGAACTTAAATCAGTGGTCCCTTTGAGTTCGTTAAAACCGTAATTTACTGTAAGATAAGATAATGTTTATTGCAGAAATGTTCCATTACGGGACAGATGCAATTTTAAAAGACAAATGTACAAGAAGAAAGACAAGTTCTATGGATAAACAACTTCTTTATTACAATATGTGCGACGTTTCAAATATGTGCGACGTTTCGGTGTAGATCCTAACACCTTTATCAAGCAATTGAAACGTCGCACTAATTGTAATAAAGAAATTGTTTATCCATAGAACTTGTCTTTCTTCATCACACCAACTTCTAAATGCCACTGAAAGAAATGTACAAGGTTCAATCATGAGATATAAGGATAGTGTTTCTAGCTTGTAGTTACTTCTTGTATTGTTTGTCTGAACATGATGGGATTACGATGTGATGCTGTGTTGCAGCCTGACACGGTACCGCAGGGCACTATCGACATGAACAAATGTTCCGATGTCCAGGAAGCAGAGAAGGTGACCGGCCACATCAACTCTGTGTCTGTCATGACCCCTGAGAAGACCATCTATGTCAAGGGAGAGTCTAAGGAAGAGTCACAATGGTAGGTTAAGTAGTTTGTAGCTCTGGTCTACTTGATGGTGGACAGATTCAGGTATGAATGCTCTCCTTCTTGGCCTTCTCTGTCACAGTGGAAGGTTAAGTAGTTTGTAGCTCTGGTCTACTTGATGGTGGACAGATTCTGGTATGAATGCTCTCGTTCTCGGCCTTCTCTGTCACAGTGGAAGGTTAAGTAGTTTGTAGCTCTGGTCTACTTGATGGTGGACAGATTCAGGTATGAATGCTCTCCTTCTTGGCCTTCTCTGTCACAGTGGAAGGTTAAGTAGTTTGTAGCTCTGGTCTACTTGATGGTGGACAGATTCAGGTATGAATGCTCTCCTTCTTGGCCTTCTCTGTCACAGTGGAAGGTTAAGTAGTTTGTAGCTCTGGTCTACTTGATGGTGGACAGATTCAGGTATGAATGCTCTCCTTCTTGGCCTTCTCTGTCACAGTGGAAGGTTAAGTAGTTTGTAGCTCTGGTCTACTTGATGGTGGACAGATTCTGGTATGAATGCTCTCGTTCTCGGCCTTCTCTGTCACAGTGGAAGGTTATGTAGTCTGTGGCACTGGTCTTCTTGATGGTGGACAGATTCTGGTATGAATGCTCTCCTTCTATGATCCTTCATCCCACAGTGGTTACTAAGGTTGTGTAATCTGTGGCACCAGTCTGCGTTCATGTCCCAACCTTTCTTTGTCACAGTGGCAGGTAGGCACGGGTCTGTTCAGTTGTTTACAGATTCTGGTGTGAATCCTGTGACCTCTTATCCCTACCTTGTCACAGTGTTAGGGTGTGAATCTCCTTACCTCTCATCCTCATCATTACAAACCAAGTGGATTCAGGGTCACAATAAGTTCTTGGTGTGATCAAATCTTGGCCAGACAAACCAGTAGTTGACAGCATAAGCATAACACAATCATCCAGATATTCCTGTAAGTAACCTATTAAGATAAGCATGAGGTACTGGTGACCTTTTCTCACCCAAGAGTCAAAACACATCCATTGTTAGACTAACATCTAGTCTCTGAAATGAACATATCGTACAGAAAAAAACAGTTGTTCAGTTATCTTAATAAAAATATAATAAAAGGGAGCCCAGTGACTCTCTTGATTTTCAGATACTGCAGTAATCTAGACTTGCCAAACATTATAGACTTGCATGGGCTGTATTTGATGTATATTTGTATCAGGGTCTGTAAGACAGACTAATCCATTGTATCCAAGCGGGTTAAATCCAGACATGTCTCATTCTCAGCCAGTGAGAAAAGATTTCTTGTGGCAAGGATGTCCTATGTGCTAAGTATGCAGGTCAAGTCATTTATGATAACTGGTATGGCTGTCAGACACCCACAGGGATGTAGTAGGTCTGTTGGTGTCTAGCCTGCTGGTTTATGACATGGAGAATGTACAGACGAAGTTATGTCCTCACATCAAGTTGATGGATTTCACACATCTCGGTCCTTATGATGACCTTCTGCAGAGACTGGGCTCCAGTCTGTAAAACACAAACACTATCCAGTGCAACGTTGGGTGTATCTGATGTCAGGGAACCAGTTTATCTCTTCACTAGAACTTTTTTTCCAAACTGGTATAAGATAGCACTCAGTCTTAGATTTTGATAATAGCATCATTATCTTTTCTTCCTTCGGAATTTTTTATTCTTTTTACTGTGGATTCTCATCAAAACGATCAGTTATGTGAGATTGATTTTGTGAAAAAATCTATAAGAGCTTTCAGTGTAATGTTTTCCCACACTAACTATTGCTTTGTATTTTGTGTGAAAATGAGTGTTGAGAACAGATAGTCATTTGTCTGAAAGAAAATGCATTATGTTCGGATTTCATTTGCATAGTGTATATGTTGCTTGATTGCAAGTATAAAATAGAAAAAAAATGAGTTTCAAAACCTGTATTATAAAAAATCAAATAAAATTTTGCCGAGGGAAAACTTGAAAATGTTAAAATGGAAGAGTATTTATTTCATTTGAAGTGGTGAGGGTTAAACATGGAACAAATCAGGACAATAAAACTGTGTCTCAGTAGTGTTGGGCGTAGTGAAAAATGAAAAGGTTGTGTTTGTGAAGCGCAAATGGGGATGCAATCATCTGCTTTACTGGAGCTGCTCAACAGTACTGTGAAAAAGGGTATCACCGTATGGCACCAGTCAAGATTTTTATCACTTGTTTTTTTAGCTCGCATTTTTGGTGGTAGATTATCTTTTGCTTTACTGAAGAAGACGAGGAAAATGTCTGCTTGTAGGCATCTAGATGCAGATGATTGTGTATGATGATTCAGAGGTGTGAGTTCAGTAGCAGCATGCCATGAGGACATGTTCCTCAGGCCTTATTATTTAGTTGGTTCACAATACCTACCAACAAAAAACCCAGAAATTAGAAAAAGAAAAAATACTTTTGACATTTTCTTTGCTGACTCTTTTGAGTTAGTTAAAATGAAAAAACACACACACAAGAAATGGTTAATGATAAGTAAAAGATTCTTTATTCGAACCCCAATAAATGATCTTTCGATATCATTTCGCAGTCATACTTCCGTAATGGTGTGACCTACAAGTTTTTCAGGCAATAGTAGCAGTACTGATCTGGAAGTTGAAATTATTTATTTTTATATTTTTTTGACCACCTACATTGAATTTTAGGCCTACTAATACAAACTGAAAAGTGGTATAATTGAAAATTGGGCCATCAAGGTTATTGGGCCATTGGTTTTGTAATTGTCCTACAGGGTAAGCTTGTAATAGTCCTACAGGGTAAGCGTGTCTATTCCTGGGAACATCTAGTCTCTCATACAGTGCCTGAAACAAAAAATCCCCCAAATCCTCTAGCAAGTCTACAATACTGTGGCAAGTCTGATTTCTCTGGGCTTCTTCTATTATATATTTAAAGACAATTTAAAAATATAAGTTTTTAAATATGTTGATTTTATAAATATTAGTCTGGGGAACATCAAATGTGAAGTTACCTGTGGTTTGAATATGAGTGGAATGCATATAGAAAACCTTAAAGCCAATTTGGATTCTTCCAGGACCAAAATGTTGATGTGTCAAGACAATGTGGTTTAGAGTCAATGAGGCCTTCACTCTATGTTGTAGTTATCTTCCACGGATTTATTGATTCACTTAAGTGTAATGTAGATAGAAGAATGATTTTCTTTGATACATTCTCCAGTTATTTGTTTCAATGTCATTAGATAATACATTTTTCAAGTGAAGCTTGTATTTTGTGTTCTCTACTGGTATTTGTTTTCATAGTTTTCACAATAAAGTTATTGCTATGCATGCTCAACCAGGTTGGTAGTTTTATCATTTAAACTGATACTGAGATAAGAGTTATAAGGGATCGGATTGAATGAACATTTAAATCAGAACTCAGAGAGACGAACATGAAACTATTGGGTTCCATTGTTTGTCTCTGATTAGTTTTGATAAAATACCAAACATGAACTAAGAATTTCTATTTTGTTTTCTAAAGTTAATTCTCAGTATATGGTGTTTTGTAATGAACGATATAATGGCTTCCTGTGGTCACTGACGTTCTGTACTCTGGTGAACATGTTGCGATCGTAAGTTTTATTCTGATCTTGTGTGTAATTGATTGTGTGTTATGTTGGAGCTATGTACAGAGTTGAAGCAGACACACTTGGTGGTGTCTGTCATGCATGGTGGACATATTTAATGGAGCTGCTGGGTTTCATGGACAGGTTGCTTTAAAAATTGTTTTGTTGAGAGAGCATGGGAAAGTTGTGCCAGTTTGATAAGCTGTGTTTGTCAAAAAGTTTATGACTGTCCTTGCTTTAATAAAATTATTGTCCCATTAATCGTCGCCCTTTTGAGATATGGGTCTCCAGCAAATGTCATGGCAACTCATGGATCAGACGGTTAGGTAGGTGAGTGGGTGGGTGAGTTTGGTTTTACACCGCTTTTAGCAATATTCCAGCAATATCATGGCGGGGGACAGAAATGGGGTTCACACATTGTACCCATGTCGGGAATCGAACCTTGGTCTTTGGCATGACGAGCGAATGCTTTAACCACTAGGCTACCCGACCGCCCCTCAGACGGTTAGGGTTAGTGATGGAGTGAATCATTGCTCATAACATCAATCTCTGGATTTTCATATGACTGGAATGTGGCTGACATGGTGTTGTTATGGGGGTAGGGTTATGGGGCTAGGGGTGGGTATGGGTATGGTGTGATAGGGGTAGGGTGGGTAAAGGTTACGGGGTATGGATGGGTATGGGAGTAGGGGTTATATATGGGGAAAGGGGTGGGTATGGGTATGGTGTGATAGGGGTAGGGGTGGATAAAGGTTACGGGGTATGGATGGGTATGGGGGTAGGGGTTATTTATGGGGGAAGGGGTGGGTATGGGTATGGTGTTATAGGGGTAGGGGTGGGTATGGGGGTAGGGGTGGGTATGGGTGTAGGGGTGGATATGGGAGTAGGGGTAGGGGTGGGTATGGGGGTAGGGGTGGGTATGGGTTATGTTTGTTAATGATAAAATATAATCTCAATTTGGTTATCCTCCAGTTTAGAACAGTCTTTCAGTAAAGTCATATCAATATCTATGAAACACATGCACGATAAAATCAAATTCAAGTTTCCCAAAAGGTCAGATAACAAGGAAACACATTGTGAGGTCGAGTGATGCACGATAAAGTTGACATGCACCTTATCGATAAAATCAATTCAAATTCGAAAAAGGTCACATGACAAGAAAACACTTTGTAAGGTCAAGTGATGCATGACTTAGATATTCTTTTATCAATTTGCTTGATGTTGTGGAAACCCTCCTATCAAGATGACAGCACTTCAAAGCCTGGCTGTGATCACATCACACATGCCCTGTGGTCAGATTGAATGGAATCTCTCTTTGATTTTCCGTATCGACATTTTCACACCCCACTAAAAAGTATTTGGGACAGATTGACAGTTGAATTTTTTTCAGCTTTTAAAATTCAAACTTTATCTTGGTTCAAACTGCAGTCTCTT